TAGGCACAGAGTATCTATTCATGGTTCCGTCTCCCATCTTCTTTACTAAATAGCTCTATCCGCCTTGACAGGAAAGCAAAAGTTCATCTTTGTTGATGCAACTCTACAAAACTCAGGGGTTCAATTAAACTTATAAAAACTAATAAATGCACATTAAAATTGTAAAACTTTGCCCAATTCTCTTAAAAATTCTGCTTTTTCTAAAATCATTGCAGGAGTTGCCAGAGAAATGGAACAACATTAAGAAGTTGGCTGTGATTGTCAAGCAAGCTGTGGCTCCTCTACAGAATAATGAAGTATCTAACATCCGTCGTAAGTGCGCCACGTTCGATGTGGCACAGCACACTTTTCGCGAGCGCTTTCGTAAAATTTCTGCTTTCCTGTATTCATGTGAAGAGCCGTATGCCGCTATCGATGAGGTAAGCGATTCAGTAGATAGCCCTGTGAATGAACTTGATGGTTACCAAGTATTTAAAGAATAGAGATTAGGCTTGTGCTTAATTGTTAAGTCGAACAGATGAAAGATACGGGCTGAATATTGCGGATTAATCATGCCCTATTCAAATCTTCGAAAGATCGCAACGAATAAAACTCTTGACGTTTCAGTTAGTTGGCAACTAATAGAGTTGGTTTGATATCATTTTATCAATTTTGTCATGCTGTCAGAAGGACCAAGGTGAAAGTACTCCCTCTTCGGAGTTCTCTGCCATGTTATTCACTTTAATTTCCAACGTCGAACCGCTGACTTGGAACATTCCAAGACGCTTCTCTGGCATCGTAGTCAGTAGTGTTAATGGGTCCTGTCAATCTTAGCACCAAGTTACAGCTTATCAATAAGACAAATGAAGTCTATCCCTTGACCAAATGGACTACGCCTGCTTCTATAACGAATTGCTGTTTGATGATAAGATTGGCAAGACTAATTGACACTGTCAACTACGATGCCAGCGTAAAGTATCTAAATCTGCCAAATCAACGGTCCTAAACTGGAAGCTATCATAGACACTATAGTAGAGTACTTTGAACAAGGCGGCTAAGTTGCGGAAATCATGTCATACTACTTCCATGAAACGAAAATAGGGGCTACACCATTTTGTCCGTAAAATATTTTATTCAACCAACAGAGTCATTTACTTATTCCTAGTCACATGAAGATAGAGTAAAATGTTATTTTATCGACCTATCCACCCACGATCATTCATGTGTTTATTTCCAACTGCAAATTTATCTATGCCATCTTCATATGTTAAGATTTTAATTCCCTTTAATATATGATTGCAATAGTGATATCTCTAACTTCCAAATTTTATGACCGCTTGGAATGAAGACCAAGATGGTGTAGCCTCTTGTGTGGTCGCAGTCTCGTTTAGTTGTATAGAAGTTGTTTGACCTTGTTTTCGCAACATGATCATATTGGTAGGAAGACTTAGACGAACGCAGCTAGTCCGGAGTTCACTGTATGGATGATCATTTGCAAAGTTGGACCGTGGACGTTGTACATTCCCAAACGTTTCGCCGGAATCGTCAGTGAGTATCGCCATTCTTAGCACCATACAACAACTCGTCAAAGAGACAAGTGAAGCCGATTCTTTGACCAAACGTGTGCTAAAAAATTGTGGTATCTCCCATTCTGCCTTGGGTTATTCGCGTTTTCGGTAGCATCATGCCTTGACTATTACCATTTTTACCGTGGTGACAGGAATCGAGTGAAATAGGTGAACAAGAGGTAGATCAGACAGATTTTACGGAGCAAGAGAGAG